AACAACAGAGAGTATATTGCTAAAGAACTCTATCTTTGGCTGTCTCTTAATTACATGATAAATAAGGGGTGGATTATTCATCAGTTTTCTGGGAAGAGGGCATAGATTCAAGGAATCAGGGGTTCCTCCTCTTTTTATACCATATAAGATAGCTTCCTGGGGTTGTCATGGTGATTAGAAACTGTCATGGCACTGAGGAGAGTTTATCTAGTATGGTATTGCATAATGGGCCACAGGGAAAACGGAGTTCTTTCTCCTCACCATCTTGGCTATTACTGGTCTTAACTGGTTTCTTCACTACATCCTGTTTTTTTCCCTGTTTTTGTCATAGACCTTGGTTTGGGTCCTGCAACTTTTTAACAAGTTGGGCATGCTGCTTTCCTATCTTGTTCCTCCTTCAGGGATCATACTCCTTAAACATAGGTAGTTGTAGAAGGATGGATATCTATCTTGTATTAACTGCTTCAGGTGGACTTTAGGAGAATTGGCTGCCTGTCATGGAAGGAGTAAAAGTGTCTGGATGCCTGCTCTAAGGGGCCCAAGGGCAGGACATCTTCATGCTCTCAATCAGCTGGCAATGTGGGTTGAAAGCCATGCTATGATATCATCTTGAATTGAAACTGTTGTAATGTAGAAGATACAGACTTTACAAAGACGTTATATAAGCCAGGGCCTAAAATTAGAAGTAATAATTTTGCCACTAAAGGGCCTAATAGGGGCAGAAACCAGATAACAAATGGTAAAAGCCCTTTTATTGAGTCCCATAAAGTTTCTATCAAAGTGGGATCTTGACCAAAGCTGTGTAGCCATTTAGCTTGCTTATATATTTCTTTATATCCTCTTGTATTTGTCTATTGGTATTGTCATAGGTACAGCAAGTTTTACTGATTACTATACAAACACTACTTTGTTCAACCAATAAATAATCTAAGGCTAATCTAAGCCACTTACAGGTTTTTCTCCCCTTGAAAAGCCTGGAATGATAACCATACATTCTTATTCTTAGTAACTTTAAAGTTTATTGAAAACCTAAGCAGGAAATTTTGAATGATCTGCCATTGTAAACTATCAGATTGGCATAATGATTGTACTAAACATGCTGGTCATATAGTCTTTTGGCTGGAGAAACCTTTCTGGGAGGGTTTTCATTTTACCTTTATTTAGAAATTGATGTTTCTCATTAAGTCAATATGTGCTTTATGTTTTTGAGTATTGTAAGGTTGACATGGTGAGTCATAGCTTTCTTTCTAGTTGCTATAAATATCAAGTCCATTGAAATGATTAAAATTTCTTTGGAAATAATGTAGATATAAATTAAATAGTAAAAAATGAAGTTATTATCTTTCTCATTATTCAAAAACAAGTGTAACGCATATCTTATTTTTGTAGGTGGCAAGCACTGTACCTATTTTAAATGAAGTTTTATGCATGTTTTTATTATGATGTTTTCAATAATATGAATGTTGTACTCTAAAACAAAGTGCAGGGTCACAGATCACAAGATTCTATTTCTGGAGGCCTAATAATAGCAGTGGCATTGTTGATTTTAAAATGATGACCCATCAGGTTGTTTTTATCTGGAAGGGTGTTGCATAAAACCAAATTGGTTAGAGACAGAGTGAAAGAAAATAGCATAATTTGTGAGAGCATATTACTAAAAACTAAACTAGTAAAAAGGAAGTCAAGCTAGTAGATAAAGGGCCCACAAAGGAACGCAACTATGTTCTTTTGTCCTTTGCTAAGATATTGCTTTTCCTTTAAGTTTTTTCTAATTAACATCCTTTCAGTTTGTACTCTTTTTTTAGTGTTAAATACCATTGTTTATGAATCCACACATGTATTGATGGGCACTTGGGTTGTTTCCACATCTTTGCAATTGTGAATTTTGCTACTACATACTGTGTTTCCCTGAAAATAAGACAGGGTCTTATATTTATTTTTCCTCAAGAAGATGCCCTAGGGCTTATTTTCAGGGGATGTGTTATTTTTTTAAAGTATGGTACAACAATCTACATTTATTCAAATATAGTTAAGTTATCATCTTCTGGAACATCATCCTAACTCTCCAAACCCAAATTCCATCCTGAATTTCTTGCGACTCTATTTTCTTTAAAACCATTGGCCCCAATCTCTCATGTGGAACAATAGAGCTCTCATGGGGCAGATGAGAAGGGCTGCTCATCTTCTTTACCACTCCGTGAGGAAATCCATGGGTTGTGCAGATATGCTGTGTAGTCACTCCCATCACTAGGTCTTATTTTTGGGGTAGGGCTTATATTTGCACAAATGCTTAGAAATTCTGCTAGGGCTTATTTTATGAATAGGTCTTATTTTCGGGGAAACACAGTACCTTCGAGTGCAGATGTCTTTATTATAAAAATAAACTTTTTTCTTTTGGGTAGACGTGGGATTGCACGATCAAACGGTAGTTCTATTTTTAGTTCTTTGAGATATTTCCATATTACTTTCCAAGGAGGTTGTACTAAATTGCAGTCCCACCAGCAATGTAAGAGTGTTCCTACTATCTCTGCATCCACCCCAGCATTTGTTGTTTGGGGACTTTGTTTTTGGATTTTGAGAAATTTTATTTTTGGTTGTATGTAATTAGGGTATACAAAATTATGTTTTGCTATATATATACAAAGTAAAATTTTCACTACAGTCACATGAATTAACATATTCATCACCTTAAATATAAAATTACCTTATTTTGTATGTGTGTAATAAGAATATTTAAAATCTATTTTTTTACAAATTTTCAGTATATAATATAATGTTATCAACTATTGTCTTCATGCACTACATTAGATCTTTAGCTGTATGCATTCTACATAACTTCAAGTTTGCAAACTTTGACCTACATATCGTCATTTCCTCCCCATTTATGCCCCTAGTAATCACTGTTTCTATGTATAGTATTTGACCTTTTTTTTAACATTCCACTAAGATCATGCAGTATTTGTCTTTCTGTGTGAGAGTTATTTCACTTAGCATTATATCCACCAGGTTGATTCATGTTGTCATAAATTGTAGCATCTCCCTCTTTTATACTTTTATTTATTTATTTTTATTTCAGCATTTTATGGGGGTACATATATTGCCTTTGCAATATATGATATTCAAGCATGTCCATCCTCCAGATGGTACACACTGCACCCATTAGCTGTGAATATACCCATCCCTTCCTCCCTCCTTCACTTGCCCAATACCCGATGAGTGTTACTACTGTATGTGAACATAAGTGTTGATCAGGTAATACCAATTTGAGGGTGAGTACATACGGTGCTTGCTTTTCCATTCTTGTGATACTTCACTTAGTAGAATGGGCTTTAACTCTACCCAGGATAATACAAGAGGTGCTATATCACCATTGTTTTTTGTGGTAGAGTAGAACTCTATGGTATACATATACCACATTTTATTAATCCACTCATGTATTGATGGGCACTTGAGTTGTTTCCAGATCTTTGCAATTGTGAATTGTGCTGCTATAAACATTCTAGTGCAGATGTCTTTTTTATAGAATGTCTTTTGTTCCTTTGGATAGATGCCTAGTAATGGGATTGCTGGATCAAATGGTAGTTCTACTTTTACCTCTTTGAGATATCTCCATATTACTTTCCATAGAAATTGTACCTGGTTTGGGACTTTTTGATAAAAGCCTTCTCACTGGAGTTAAGTGATATCTCATTGTGGTTTTGATTTGCATTTCCATGATGAATAGAGATGTTAAGCAATTTTCATACGTTTGCTGGCCATTATTCTGTCCTCTTCTGCAAAGTTTCTGTTTATATCCTTTGCCCACTTTTTAATGGGGTTGTTTATTTTTTTCTTGTTAATTTTCTTATGTTCTATATAGATTCTAGACTAGACGTCTTCAGACATCAATATGACCTGTCAGAAGCATTTAGTCTTATAAAGAGGATTGAACAATTATTTAAACACTGGGCAATCACATGAAAATTAGGATTTCTGCTTTATCCTGGAAAATCAGAAGACCTAGCTACACTGGCTTTCATTGCCACATAACAACCATTGACAGAAGTTGAGCACCAGCTGGTCTCTTTAAACAACCCTGCACTGCATGGTTTATGGCAGCCTCTACCATCCCTATTGTCCCTCTAGGCTAATTTACTCTTTTCCTTTGTCCTCGGTAGGCATCTAAGTTTGGAACCTCTGAATTAGAGAAATAGAGTTCCAATCCCTATTCTACCGCAATCTATAATCAGGGGCATTATGAGCAATTCTATGTGAATAATTCCTTCAATTTACATAGAAACTGAGCACATCATTCTTTCAATAAGATTTTCTGGTATGCTCACTGGCCACTAATTTCTCAATCAGTTTCTTTTCTTTCTTTTACTTATTGAGAGGTTGCAAAGTAAAACAAAGGAATTAACATGAAATTCATCCAAATGCTTCATAAAACAGATGGGGTAAAAATTGATGGCTTATATTTAGTTTTTCTTGGCATAATTAAGCCAATCTCTTATCAGTTCAGTAGAAAGGAATTACCATTTTAATGATGGGATTTTCTACTTAATTGTGTAAGATAGATTTCCATTGAAATTCTTGTGTGGGATACTAAAATCTGGTTTACCATTTTGAATTGTTGTAAAGCATGTTAAACTTTATTATAGGATTGTGCTATAGATAATGTAAGTTTAGTAATTTATATCTATTAACCTTTGACTTACCCATAAGGTCTCAATTTTAAAGACAGTGTGTTTCTGATATTATTAGTATGTTAACTTCTCAACCTAGTTGCTTACGAATTAAATACAAGAAAATATGTCTTTCCTTAGAGATTACTTGTCTGCAAATCATGTTGATAGAGAGTTTCAGTACATTAAACAAATGTGTTACTTTCTTAATGAATAGCATGGCTCAGGTAATTAACTATAAAGTCATTAAGGTTTTTCTGTGCTGTGACAGTTGTGTTTACCTATAACGGATTAATGAACATGTCAAATGTTTCTTTCTTCCTCTTGTTATTTCAGATCAGCCTTGAGTAGAATTTGACTGAAGATGTTTCAACAGTGTTGTCTCTGGAAATCTTTAGCTTCAGGGATCATCATTGGCTCTCTTTTCACAATCTGCTTGGGCCAGTACGACGATGGTAAGGCTGCTTTTAGACTGACCTTTAGAGCTAGCCAGAATTTCTGTTATTAAATTAAAAATGAAATACACCACAGAAATGAATAATGCTAATTTGTAACTTATTTCTAAAGGTTAGTGGCTCTGTGCAATAATTTACATTAACTAAAATGAGCTTACAAAGTGAAATCAGATGCATTTTGTTTCTTAATAAGGATTGCAGTATGGTAGAAAATCTAATGCAAGACCTCTGTTTGAATACTTACTCTCACTAAGCAAATGCTAATTGCTATGAAAAAGATATTAAATTATATTTACTAAGCCTTGAATAAATGCAAACGAAGGTCTCAAATAAGGCTAGACATGCAAAAGATAACAAAATTTGACCCCCTGTAAGGGTCAAAAGTAGAAACCATAAGTGGTTTTAGAGTTTACACTTTAACTGGGCAATGCATTATTTTATTCCCTACTATTTTATTTGGAAAGAGTACAAACATGTAAAAGATTTGACTTTTAGCTTCTCAAGTCTTTCCCTTATAGTAAGTCAGTCACTTTAGAAAGATGTATTAGTCTTTAGGCTCCTTAGGATCCATTTAACACAGTATGCCTTCTGGGCACATCTAAGATATTAGATATCTAAGATATTTCAATATTGGAGGAATCTGTGTTTGAATACCATATAATGAAATATAAGGTATATATACAAAGTCTGTCCAGAAAGTATCCAGCCATATAATCTGAAAAATATTTCATATAATATGAAAAATATATTAACAAAGGCTTGATATTTTTTGGAAATTAGAAAGGGTTTGACTCTATATTAAAGGGATGCATTTCAAATTACACTCCAGGAGTAAATGACAAATGAGTGTGTTGGTATTTCTTTATGATACAAGGCATTCTATTCTTATTCATACTTAGTGTTCACACTGAGTAGTAAACTGTTCATTATCTGTTGTTTCTCACATGTTTACAAACCGTGTGTGTGTGTACAATTTATATACGATATTTAAAATATATATAATATTTTAAGTTTAATAGAAGAAAAGAATAGACAAACTTTCTGCCCTAGAGGTCTAGAAATTTGCTATTCAGAAAAACTGAATTTTATTCTCTCTTTTTTTTTTTTCCATTGTTCTTACTCAAGATTTGTTTGGCATTCGGGGTGTATGGACAAGAATCCATTTCCCTCACCCTTGTTACCCTATTAACTGGTTGTTCTTAGTGGCAGCAAATAATGTGAATTTCTTTTGTGCTTTGCTTAGCAAAAATGATTGATCTGAAGATCGATGAGTTAGTTTGACTTTATCCTAAAGAGTGTTAATGTTATGCACCTATTAAGACATTCTCAATAGTGTGAGAGATAGATTTCTTTGGGAATTTGCAGAATAATTCACTATAGTACCTATTTTCATAAAATCAGCAATTTAATCTCCTGAACAGTTCTGCTAATTTGCATGAATTTTCTTTAAGGAAATTTTAATTTAATATTTATCTCTTTGCCATTTATGGAGATTGTGAATCTCAAGTCTCAAAACAAATTTTTTTTAAAAGTAGCAATAAATAAATAATAGCTACTTTCAAGGAAAAAAAAACAATTAAATTAAAAAGAGTGTGACTCTATATATTAAAGGGATGAATTTCAAATTATGCCCCAGGAGTAGATGACAAATCAGTGTGTTCTTTGTGTTGTAAGGCATTCTATTTTTATTCATATTTAGTGTTCACACAGAACAGGAAACTATTCACTATCTGTCATTTCTCACATGTTCACAAAACTTGTGCTTTTTAGCAATGTATATTAGGTTAGCAGAGTAAATCACTTCTGGTTTAACTTGTAATGGTCAGATTGGTCTCCTTCATACATTTGTTACAGCACTTAGTCTTTTATAAATGCACACGCCTAGCCTCTAATATAAAATTATCAGGTCACTATTGGCCGTCACATAGTCAACTTCCTGGAGCAGCGTAGAACTTCAGACTTGCTGAGTGATAGTGTACAGTAGAGCTCACCCTTAAAGTACTACACTTGTTGATTAATCCCCTATAGCTTCAGTTAGAAAGCCTTCTCAGGTCTCTCCTCTTAGAGGTAAGTGACTCAATTCTTAGGAAGATAGGAATTATGGCAGATAAACTTAAGTTTATAAAAAACTTTATAGTGTTTTAGAGAGATTTCCTAACCGTATATGCATTTCACTATTCCTTCCCTATTTGTATCCTCCAATATGCTCCCAGAGGTAGCAATGAATTCTCTTCTCTTAGGTCTCCATACAGCTCTTTACTTCCTTCAAAGCTCCCTCAATTAGGAACTTTAATTTTAGTTTTATTCAATTATTCAGTTATGTGTGACTGAAAATGGCTTTTGTATTCATTTTCTTTCTTTCTTTCTTTCTTTCTTTCTTTCTTTCTTTCTTTCTTTCTTTCTTTCTTTCTTTCTTTCTTTCTTTTCTTTCTTTCTTTCCCCATACTATGCAAGAATGAAATCAGGACTATGCAAATGATCACTAACTCAAAATAGCACTAAATTGGCACTTGTGATATGACTATTTGAAGTAATTTTTATCAAATCCTTGGGGATACAAGTACATGGTTATGTTGAAGAAAGGTAATGGTGATATTCATAAACACAAGAGAAACCTGCAAGAAAATACTAAAAGAAAAATAATACTTTTGTCATAGATAATCCACGGGATGGGATATAACATTAGCCCATTATGACTGTTAACAGTGGATTTACATAGAATTAGGAGCTTGAGAGAAAAACAAAGAACAACAATTTTAAGATATCCTAAGACAATTAGTCTAGGTGTTTTTTTATATTAAAGAATAGTATCTTTCTGGACATTTAATTAAGAACAATATTCTATGCTTTTCTATGTATCTTCTTAATTAGGCATAAGGGAGTTAGCACTATCCTAATGTGTGCAATTATTTCCAAGAAAATATCTTGTATAATTATTATTTTTAAAATTTTATAGCAATTGTTTTACTTGAAAAATTTGGCCAAGTTTTTGAGTTTTCAAAAATTGGTAATTCAAATTGCTGGGATAAGTTTTTAGATGTAGTAATAAAATTTGTAGATGATCTATTCCATAATGAATATTTCATTTGGTTGATGACTATATACCTAAGCAAGTATTAGTAACATAAATGAGGTTGATAGTAGTGTATTAAAGAGTCAGAACTTAGTTAAGTGATAGAGCTACCAGAAAATTAGAGAACATACAAGATTTATAGTTTATGGTGAATCGTTTTGTTGTTTTTTTTCCCATAAAAGAACATTAGGATTGATATTGTCCTTATTTATTAATACATTGCTGATCCTAACAACTTTATTTGAAATGGAGCATGCGCCTTGATCTCAAATTGAGTGTGGGGAACCTAGGAGGAGGTGCCCTTTGGAAACAGGTATATGAAGGGACCCTGTTTATATCCTTAAGAATTCATATCACTTCCTGAAGCTCACTTTTTTTGATAAATAATAACTCTCTGAAACTCAATTTTATATATTTCAACACAGGATCTGTCAAATGGCCAATGTTCACTAAAATTTTTTATCATTATTACTTTTACATTTTCTCATATGTAATTATTTATACTTATTTTTCTAAGTTTATGTATTTAGTTACAAGCAAATACTTCATGCTTATGTACACATGTCTATTTTCTTTTTTTATCTCTCTGGATTTACCAAACACCTCAAAGACTTAACTGTGTCAAATTACATTTTATTTTTAAAAGTATTAATAACTTTATTATTTCCTTAGAGAGCTTATTGTTTCACATAAAACCTTAAGTTTGAGGAAAATTTCTAAGTTAATTTTCATACTTGTCATTAAGTAATCTTTGGAAAATCAGTGATGAGACAGACATGCCAATCACTAAAGAATATAACCATGTTCTAAGGTCTGATGCTGAAGTGTAGATACCTGGAAACTTCATTTTTATGGATGGATTCAGAGGAGATTGAACAGAGTGCCATGAACTTACAAAAATTAAACTTAGAAGAGAATTGCATATACATAAAGAATGAAATCTTGTCATTCAAGACAACATGGGTGAACCGGGAGGACTACTATGTTAAGTGAAATAAGTCAAGCAAAGAATGATAAGTACCCCCATTTTCTCCATGTGTGTGAAAGCTAAAAAAAGTTGAGATCATAGCAGTAGAGAGTAGAAGTATGGTTATTAGAGGATGGGAAAGATAGAGGGGAGGGGAGAATAGGAGACACAATTATAGCCAGATAAAAGGAATAAGTTCTAAGTGTTCTATAGCTCTGCAGGATGAATATAATTAACAATAATTTATTGTATGTGTTCAAAAAGCTAGAAGAAAGGATTTTGAATGTTCCTAACATAAACAAATGATAAATGTGACAGATATTCTAATTACCCTAATTTGATCATTATATATTACATGTATGTATTGAAATATCACTCTGTACCTAACAAATATGTACAATTATTATGCGTCAACTAAAAAAATATTTTATAGCATTGAATCAAAACTGTAAATAGCCCTCCAGTTCCCCTCCCCATCAGATCTGAACAGTGGTCTTGGTGGTCGTAAAAGGAGGAAAAGTAATACTGAAGCTGGCCTCACAGTGTTGTAGTTTGTTATATAGCATGTGGGCTAGTTTCAAACATGGTAAATAAAAAAAAAAAAAAAAGAAAACCTGTAAATAAATTTGTTTTATTTTAGTTAATAACCTTTAATTGAAAAGTATATGTCATTCCATAAACTTCAAAATAAAAATCTTAACCTGTATAGAAAATATAAAATGGCATACACATCAAAGAATGGTGGTAATAGAATTATAAGAAAAATGTAACTACCTAATGAGTCAAAATACTTGTGTTTTTGAGCAAAGTGTTTTCTCCCTATCAACACATTAAGAAGAGATGCTTAAATAAACATAATAGCTCTGCAAGGAAAGTTAAATGATCTATTGGTTCATTTTTTCCAAGCTATCATAGACCATCATATAGGGCACTTTTGTAGAAATACCTGTAGCACATGGA